GGCGCCGCGGGTGGGTGAGGCGAATCGGCGGAGAGGAGACGCGCAGGGCCGGGGACTCACGTGGGGACGGGGACGGGACCGGGACCGGGGATAGGATCGGTAACGGGATCGGGAATCCCACACGGGACCGGGAATAGGATCGGGAACGGGACCGGGGATAGGATCGATAACGGGACCGGGGATAGGATCGGTAACGGGATCGGGAATAGGATCGGTAACGGGATCGGTAACGGGATCGGGAATAGGATCGGTAACGGGATCGGTAACGGGATCGGGAACCCCACACAGGACCGGGAATAGGATCGGGAACGGGACCGGGGATAGGATCGATAACGGGACCGGGGACAGGATCGGTAACGGGATCGGGAATAGGACCGGGAATAGGAGTGGGAAAGGGATCGGTAACGGGATCGGGAATAGGATCGGTAAGGGGATCGGTAACGGGATCGGTAACCCCACACGGGACCGGGAATAGGATCGGGAACGGGATCGGTAACGGGATCGGTAACCCCACACGGGACCGGGAATAGAATCGGGAACGGGAACGGGATCGGTAACGGGATCGGGAACCCCACACGGGACTGGGAATAGGATCGGGAACGGGACCGGGAATAGGATCGGGAACGGGATCGGTAACGGGATCGGTAACCCCACACGGGACCGGGAATAGGATCGGTAACGGGATCGGGAACCCCATACACAGGACCGGGAATAGGAGCGGTAACGGGATCGGTAACAGGATCGGTAACCCCACACGGGACCGGGAATAGGATCGGGAACGGGACCGGGAGTAGGATCGGGAACGGGATCGGGAATAGGATCGGTAACGGGATCGGTAACGGGATCGGTAACCCCACATAGGACTGGGAACGCGACCGGGATCGGGAACCGCACACGGGATCGGTAACCCCACACGGGACCGGGAATAGGATCGGGAACCCCACACAGGACCGGGACCGGGAATCCCACTCGGAACTGAGAACGGGACCGGGACCGGAGCGTCCTGAGCAGAAGCGGAGCCACGCGAGCGGTAACGGGACCGGGAATCCCGCACAGGACCGGGACTGAGAACCTCCCACGGGAACGGCACCGGTAAAAGCACCGGGAGCCCCACTCGGGACTGGGACTGAGAACCCCACACGGGAACGGCACCGGTAAAAACACCGGGAACCCAACTCGGGACTGGGAAAGGGAATAGGATCGGGAACCCCACACGGGACCGGGAACGGGACCGGGAATCCCACTCGGAACTGAGAAAAGGATCGGGAACCCCACACGGGACCGGGACCGGAGCGTCCTGAGCAGAAGCGGAGCCACGCGAGCGGTAACGGGACTGGAAATCCCGCTCGGGACCGGGACTGAGAACCTCCCACGGGAACGGCACCGGTAAAAACACCGGGAACCCAACTCGGGACTGGGAAAAGGACCGGGAATCCCGCTCGGGACCGGGACTGAGAACCCCACACGGGAACGGCACCGGTAAAGGCACCGGGAGCCCCACTCGGGACTGGGACCGGGACCAGGAATCCCGCTCGGGACCGGGACTGAGAACCCCACACGGGAACGGCACCGGGAAAGGCACCGGGAACCCAACTCGGGACTGGGAAAAGGACCGGGAATCCCGCTCGGGACCGGGACTGAGAACCCCACACGGGAACGGCACCGGTAAAAGCACCGGGAACCCAACTCGGGACTGGGACCGGGACCGGGAATCCCGCTCGGAACCGGGACTGAGAACCCCACACGGGAACGGCACCGGGAAAGGCACCGGGAACCCAACTCGGGACTGGGAAAAGGACCGGGAATCCCGCACGGGAAGCGCGGGGGTGACCGGGACCTCTTGAAACCCACCCCATTTCCCCTTTTTTTCCCCATTTTTCCAGCCCCTCCATGACCGATCCCCTCCCGGTCCCGGTGCCCATCCTCCGCCTCCCGCGGGGTCCCGACATCTCCGGCGGCCGCGGTTTCAGCCGCGATTCCCGAGGGAATTCCCAACATTTCCCGGAGCTCCAGGCGGCCCGGGCGGCGCTCCGGGAGCGGTTCCTGCGCCTGCTGAGCTCGGCCCGGGGCCGCCCCGCTCGGTTCTGGCTCTGGAGCGGCATTTCGGTGGACGCGGAGTTCGGGGCTGCGGACGCCGAGCCCGTGGCGTTCCAGGTGGATTCGCTGCGGACCCCGCTGGGCGTGCAGGGAGCGGCGCTGCTGCGCTGCGGGGACGTGCTGGCCTTCTCC